TCAAGTGAGCCCCTCCTCGAAATCCGCGGAACTCGAAAGTAAGATCGTTCAAGAGAAAATTGAAAAGAGGCGATAAAAGCAATCAGAGGTTGCGCCGCAAAATCAGACGTTACGCCGGCGGCGCATCGTCTGATTTTTACTGTCGGCTTACGAGTGGAAAACACGAAAAAACCCCCAAATCAGACGTTTCGCCGCTCATCGACTCGTCATAATCCTCCTCCATCTGGGCTATCGACTCATCAACATAATATCCCTGCTGACCGTCCGGTGCTGGTGCAGGGGGTATCGAACTGCCTGTCTGGCCAGCAAAAACATATCTATGCTGACTGTGATCGTACAGTGGTGGTGCATCATATCCCAGATGACCAACTGGTAGTGGTGGCGCACCATATCCCTGCTGACCAACCGGTACTGGTGGTGTACCATATCCTCTCTGACCAACTGGTAGAGGTGGGCCACCATATCCCTGTTGACCAACCGGTAGTGGTGGTGTATGGAGTCTTGAAGTGCCTGCCTGGCCAGTCTGTATCCACCGAGCCTCTTTGATAATGATCTGTCGATCCCGACGAACGGACGCATTTATATCCCGACTTTTCGTGTGTCGGGGTCTAGAACAGTCAATATACTCATCGAACTCGTCGTCGTCCCTAGCAGATTATCCAGGTCTAGTAATACCCTAAATCACCAATTTAAAGCAAAAAATTAGTAAATATAATTTTTTTTAAAAAAAAATTGTAAATATTTTTTTTAATTAAGAATTGATTAATTTACTTATAATAACATCTTAAGAACTATTAATCAATTTTAAATTTAATAAATATTGTAATAACTATTATTACGGTAATTAATTAATTTTATAATATAAACTAATTTTTTTAATTATTATAATTAATATTTTATTATTAATTACGTTTTTTTTATAATTTTTTATTTATTAATATAATATTTTTTCTTTTAGATTATAATTATTATTATTAAAGTAATATTTTTTAATAATATTAGTAATTTATTATTATTATGATAATTCATTAATTTTTAATCAAATAAATTATTTATTTTTTTTATTTATTACTAATATAATATTAATTAACATAATTATTTATTAAAAATATTTTTTTTAAATTTTTTATTATAATAAATTTTTAATATAATTATTTTCATTATTTATTTATTAATATATTATAAAATAAAAAAAAATTTCTAGCCGGTCACGATTTTTTTCACGTCCGTCCGGCCCCCAAAAAAGGACATGAAGTGCGGCGTTCGGCCGGGTCGGGCCGAACACCAAAAGGGGCGACCGTTCGCGGTGACCGGTCGCTCGCGGGCCGTACGGGATCACCGATCATACGACCCGAGCCGCGTAATGCTGAATGGCGTCACTTGTACCCGGAGGCATCTGTGAGACACTTACCGAGGGTATACTCGGATCACTGCCTAATTCTAATCGACAGAAATGGATCTCAACCTCCCTGACTTCCTTCATTCATGCTAGTTACAAAGACAAGGAGATTCATTAGAAGGAATCCGACCCTTAGTTTTAGGGCCTTGCCCATTCCCTGCCATCAACCACCTGTTCCCTTCCACTAACCTCTCAAGAGCAAGAATCAAACAGCCAAACAGCCTTGCTCTTCATTGCTGAACTTCCTTGTCCTCTTTGTGAAAGAGAGGGGGAGCGATAGCCACTCGACTGAAAGCTATTAAAAAAGAAGTACTGATGAACCATTAATCAGTAGGTTGAGCCTGGATGGGCAGTTTTCAAGCAAGCATGCGATAACCGCTACTGAGGGTGCAGAAGTGATAGAATGGCCACTTGAACGGATAGACTTGCTTGCTTTCTTATGCTAGAACCTGACAATCTCTATCACTAGAACAAGGGAATGAGTCCTACAATGCTGTCTTCCTATAAGGCTGGAAGGTTAGCGTCCGGATGCGCCGACCGGATGCGGCACATAATTTTTTTTAAATACATATAAATTGTAAAAAAAAAAAGAAATTACCTTGCTAGAGAATAATGCTTTGTCGATGCCGTAGGATTTTTTCAACATTTTTTTGGATTTTTTTTTAAGCTCGAATGGCTCGTTGATGTTTCGATTGTAGAGAGATAGAGAGATTAGAGAGAGAGTAGAGAAATTAGGTTCAAGGGTATTTTTGTAAAAGGGGACGATAACTAGTAATAAGGGCGGTAAATAGCGATTCACTTTTTTAAAACTATCAAAAATATAATTTAAATAAATGAAGATTTTTAAAATATTATATATTAATTAAAAAAATTAAAATTGATTTTGAGTTGGTATTTTTATTTAGAACTTTCTGGTATGGTCCCTCATTAGTTTTTACTTTATTATTTTTTCGGTAATAATTTTTTGAGAAATCACCTAAAATCGGTAATAAAGCAAAGGCAGGAGGAATTCTAAATCAATTTCCCTTGCCCGAGATATGGCGAGCTGTACATGGCCGTGGACCCCTCATCTAAAATTTTCTCGGCCCAACTCCGGTTACATTTTCCCCCACAGTACAGTGCGCCTCAGCAAGTTCCCTTGTA